TCTGAAAATCAAAGTATGCAAAGTACTCACTTCTTTTCAGGTGACAACTCAGATGAGGAAGATTGTGGGGAATACCGATGCCCACCAGGGAAATGGCACTGTAATGGCACAGGACATTGCATCGATGAAATCAAACTTTGCGACGGCGTCAAAGATTGCGCTGATGGAGCCGATGAAGAGCATTGCTGTAAGTATCTTTTCTCTACTTTGACTATTTCTTCTTGATCAAGACTTTATCTTGTAATTCGACAAGAAAAATTCGAGTTTTGATTTTTAGCGCAAAATCTGTGCCCATCTCTGGGATGTCAAGCTGGATGTCACGCATCACCACATGGAGGAGTTTGTACTTGCCCGAACGGCTATAGGCTTGATGAGCGATTTCATAGGACGTGCTCGGGTAAATTTTTCAATTCTTCCGCAATTTTTTTTTTGAATTAATCTATTATGAAAGGAAGTGAACATTTTAAAAAAAGTGCTGTGCTTTTTTAGCTGTAAAGAGAGTGTACCCAACTTTTCCTTACTATTCCTTTTGTAGACATCAACGAATGCGCTGAATTTGGTTATTGCGATCAACTTTGTGCCAATCATCGTCCAGGTTTCACATGCTCATGCATAGGAGAATGCTATACTCTTATGGTTAGTTACCGTTACCATTTTGCTGTCCTTCGAAAAATTACTCCATTTTAGATGCTTCACGGCCCAGGACAAGATAATCTGACCACTCGCGGCTATTGTATCTCACAAAATGCGGAGAAAATGAAGCTTTTCGTTGCCAGGAGAGAAGGGCTCTATAAGTGAGCGGCTGGTTCTGGTTCTTTTCCTTTCCCCATTTAACATTTTGCTTCCAGACTGGAACCAAACGGGCCTAATGCTGAGCCAAAGCGACTAGCATCGGGAGAGTTCATTTATGGTATAGATTTTGACTACGGCGATCGTAAGGTCAGACATTTTGTCACAGATAAAACTTTGTACTCAACAAAGTCTTCGAAATTTAGGTATTTTGGACCGATCGACTATCACATTCCGCATTTAGCGCTGATGTTGATGAGGAGGGAGATATCTCACATATCAAGTCAGCATTTTTTCTTATGCTTCCGAAAAATTTTATGACGTAGGATCATTCATTTCTTTAGGAAACTCGGCTTGAAATCGCTGGTCTATCCTCGGTCTTTGGCTGTGGATTGGATCACCAATACGCTGTACATCATCGAGTCCGGTGAGTGAGTTTACTGCGAATTTAGGGTAAGATTACACCACACGGTTGTAAAAAATACGTTCAACTCATCCAAGTCAAATGCCGATTTTTATGGGAAAATCTCTTTTTTATCAGAATGCACTATGTGTTGTAGTTTTTGGATGGGGTTAAATGAAACCCACGTATAATACAGAATGTTTTGATTGTTTTCCCTTTTTATTAATA